CACGGTGACAACGGGGGGGACACGGTGACAACGAGGGGGACACGGTGACAACGGGGGGGACACGGTGACAACGAGGGGGACATGGTGACAAAGGGGGGACACGATGGGCCCCCCCTGGAACCCCCCACTCACCTTCCAGCCCTTCCTCCTCCTCGAACTGCGGCTTCTCCTCCTCCCCCCGCCCGTAATATTCCTCCCCGAACCATTCCTGGGGGGAAACGGGGGGTCAGCGGGAACGGGGGGGGTTCAGGGGGGTTTGGGGGGGGTCAGGGCACCCACGGCCATGAGCTGGTCGTGTTGGGCGGGGTCAAAGTCCTCCTGGAGCTGCGAGTCCGTGAGGCCGAAGGCGTCGGAGCCGGAGGCGTCGCGGATCCGGGCGAGCCGGGCGGCCAATTCCTGGCGCTTCAGGTTCTTCAGCTGCTTCAGCTCCTCCCTGCGCCGAGCCCGCTCCTGGGGGGGCACGCGGGGGGTCAGGGGGCACCCCCAGAACCCCTCCAGACCCCCCCGGGCCGGGCCCTTCCTCACCTTCTTCTTCCTCTCCCGGAGCTGCTCCCGCTTCTCCTTGCGCCGCTCGTCCCGGCGCCGAACCGACGTGGGGATGTGGCGGGGGAAGGTCTGGACCTGGAAGGGGGGGACACGGGGTCAGGGACCCCCAAACTGCCCCCCAAACCCAAAACTGCCCCCTCAACTCCAAAACTGCCTCCCCAACCCCAAAACTGCCCCACAACCCCAAAACTCCCCCTCCCAAACTGGGGATGTGGCGGGGGAAGGTCTGGACCTGGGGGGGGGACACGGGGTCAGGGACCCCCAAACTGCCCCCCCAACCCCAAAACTGCCCCCCCGACCACAAAACTGCTCCCCTAAGTCCAAAACGACCCCCCCCAAAGTGGGGATGTGGCGAGGGAATGTCTGGACCTGCAGGGGGGGGACACAGGGTCAGGGACCCCCAAACTGCCCCCCTACCCCAAAACTGCTCCCCCAACCCCAAAACTACCCCCCCCAAAACTGGGGATGTGGCAGGGGAAGGTCTGGACCTGGAAGGGGGGGACACAGGGTCAGGGACCCCCAAAATGCTGCTCTACCAAGCCCAAAACTGCCCCCCAACCCCAAAACTGCTCCCCTAAGTCCAAAACGACCCCCCCCAAAGTGGGGATGTGGCGAGGGAATGTCTGGATCTGCAGGGGGGGACACAGGGTCAGAGACCCCCAAACTGCCCCCCCAACCCCAAAACTGCTCCCTCAAGCCCAAAACTGCCCCCCCAACCCCAAAA